CTGCATGTACTGAAAGCCACAAAGTGAAACAACATATAGTGTAACAATGAAGCTAATTTTAGAGTACGTTTTGTTGACACCGTCCCTTGCATAGCACCAGAAAAAAGATGAACTGAAATCTACAAAATACAATGTTTTCGAAAAGTACGATAATTCGTTTAGACTCGGATCCTCTAACTTACCAATAGTTTAAACCGTAGTTTTTACCTTAGTAAGGTTTGAGAAAAATCTATGAAACCTTTTTGAAACATTATAGTTTAAATGTTTTTCATCTCCCCAAATATTAAATGTCTTTTTCACTTTATGTTTTTATCACAATCCATAATTGGTTCTCAGTTCTTTCAATAGTGAAAATTGGCAAGAAATCGCTATTCTGCTATTTTTCAGACTCATGAAATACATGTGTATTAGAGAGATTGAGAGTCACGTTTACGACTAACGACAAACGTCAGATACAAGTTCAGAATTTCTCAGAATAGAAAATAAGCAGATAAAAACTGTCCAGAACAATTCTTACGGATAACACTGGCGTGAAACTACTTATTTCTTTAGTATAATAATAAACAGTAAACGACAATTAAGGGGAAAACGTGGTCACGAGGTACAAATAACCGTAGTGATCCCTTTGGTTGTTGGTGCGCTTGGTACAGTGAAGAAGGGTATGATAGAAAACATCAAGAAAGTATCAGAGAGAGCTACTATCACAGAGATTCAAAAGATCTCCATGCTGGGATCTACGTGAATCCTCAGAAAGGTGGTCAGTGTATGAACAGAATGATTGACTTGAGTGACTGACGCTCTACGTGCATGGTTTGCGCCCGGCTGATGCACAAAAAGAACACCAGCAAAGACTGTGATAAAAGAGATAATAATAATAATAATCTTTTTAGAGGAAGCTCCTGTCACATTAGGGCCATTTATACGAGGAAAAATAAGACGCGAACTTTCCGTATAAACGGCACATTTCGTCTAAAATATCTGCGCCGAATCGATTCTGCGCAGAATAATCTATTCTGTACGAGCATATTTACCATGTCATCGCGTCTTATTTAAGACGCGTCTTATGTAAGACGCGTCTTATTTTTCCTCGTATAAATGGCCCTATTAAGTGGTTTTCAGGGAGGTCCTCTGACTAAGATTAAATAATATTAAAACTACTGATAACAGTCAAATCTAAAAAAATACAGTCGACTGCCGATAACTTGAACCTTCAAGGGAAATCGAAAAAAGTTCGAGTTAGCGGGAGTTCGAGTTATCGGGAGATCGAAGCAAATAACTAGAAATGAGAAAATGGGATAGGGGTGGAATGCAAGTATCATGCACACTTCACAGGTTTGGCTTCATAAAGGACATATATTACAAGTTTACTTGTTTAGGGTTATGAATCTTGCTTGTTTGTTTCGCACATTTGCATGTAGTACGCCGTCCACGGATCACTGTTTCTTTCATCGGCCTACTCAGAGAGTTGAAGATGGAGCTCGACTTATTATGTTATATTTCCTCAGTCAGTAGTCAGCAAACAGGGAAACCCGACAACTGTTTTCTGTAAAAAATACCTGTTTGGAAAACTAAACATGGCCTAGAATTTTCTATTGGTTTAGGACGGCTAAAAATTTCAAGATGATCAATCCCATTCATGTTCAATTTTCGAAGCTTGTCTAATAAATTTCCTACGTTTTTCTGAACTTAAGTTTTTCACATTTCACTCCCCGTGTTGGGCTATTTTTCGTAGAAAAAGAAAACCTAAAATTTTCGGATTCTAAAATGTAATGGAAAGAGGAAAATAGAAAAATTCTCTCTGTCGTAAAACTTTTTAAAGTTTCATCTAAAATTTTCGGGAACATAATACTGAAGCCCTTATAATTTCGAAAAGACTCAAGTTCCCCTGGGATGACCGAACAGATACAATTTTTTTAGCGCCGCTTAGAATGTATTTCTAGGTATCTAAAAGTACTCTGGATAGCATAAATAGTGTTTTCAATGTATTCAGAGGAAAACCGTCGATGGGTGCCCTTGAGCAAAGGATTTTATTCTTATAGCACATTTTCAGTCAGGAAAGAGAGTGTACGTTCTTAATGTCAAATCAGTGGCACAAATAATTGTGCGCTTGTTCCCCTACCCCACCCCTAACCCTTATACATGATTCAGCTGGGAAACTCTGATCAAACGGCAGGCTTTACGTATCTTTTAAACCGTTAAAAAAGAACTTTATGAATCATGCTTGTACTGTGCCTTTCAACCAGACTATATCAGAAATTCAGTAAGTAATTAGACGTCTGCATCCAGTTTGTTATTTGTTGTGCGAGGAACTGTACCCTGAAACGGGTCACCAGTTCAGCTGTGTAGACACTAGCCTACGGTTCGCATAAATCATTTAATGCCGATAATCAGTCAACTGATTCTTATTGGCTGAGTTTGAGAAACGATTGTCGGAAAAGTCAATGAGCCAAAGTTGTTGCTTTCTTAGCTGAAACAGATTGCGTTTTAGAGTATTTTTCGCGATTATGGACGTAGTTAATTGCTCCAACTACTTTTTATGTTAATATTCTGTAATTGGCTAAATACGTTACTATTACGTTCCTGTTTCCTTTTTAAAGTGATGACCGCCATAACAAAACGAGATAAATTCATAAATTCAAATTTGTTTTTTTACAGAGCATTTTTTGAATGTCAGTACATGTTGTAAATTATTGAAGTACGTAGGCACAGGGAAACAGCAAACCTTGACGCAACTTAAGCTTTTCGATTACTAGGAAGTCTGGCTGTAAAATAGCTTGGAGCTCCAACATGAAGACACATTAAATAGGCTTAAAAGGAATTGCGTTCAATGCTGCTAACATAACCTTCTCCCATGTTGCATCTTAGTTCACTCAGAGCAACTCTTACACTTCTCTCCTGTTCTCCCCATTTCCGCAGTACATGCAGCCATCTATCGACTTGAACCAATTCTTATATACAACCGTTAATCGCCTCCACCCAATTAAGACCCTCTTACTCACCCGACAGCGAGCTTGAGGTCCGCGATGCAACAGCAAAAAAACAAAAAAAACACGTTTCGTGACTTGTAGTGGAAACCGAGAAAAATAGGTATAGATTAGACAGATGTTTATTTTTAAAAAAAGGGAGGCAATTATTGGCATCCAAATGAAATATTCATACCCAGAGAAGACAAAAACATTCGTTTAACACATTTCAGTTGAGAACTGAATGGAACAAAAATTATTACAATATTTTTTGGTCAAGCATTGCGACCAAAACAAACTTTTTTTAATTTTGGTGGTGCCAACATTGAAATACGGCAGCGCGCATACCAACTGCTAGATATTTTAAGTATCTTCATTGTTGGAACACTGTTTTCTATTTTGCCGGTGCGATTTGGGGTAGCATGGCCCCTGGCCGAGATCGAGGACTTTGCATCTAGCAACTAGAGCTTAGGATTTTAAATTGATTCAATCTATGACTCATTTTTATTCATTTAAAATATTTCGCCGTTTCTGATTGGCTCAAATCCTCTGAGCTAATTCTTTATAACCAGCCGACGTTGACCAAATTTGGAACGAGCAATATACCATCTACTCGATAGTATATTTGCGTTGAAACGAGGTTGATCGATGGTATATTTGCCTGGAACCGAGGCTTCGTGGGCAATAGTGAACTGGAACCGATATCCTAATACGAAATAGCGTTCCATTTCTGACTAAAACTGAACAGAAGAATTGCAGGCCTAGCAAATTTTGAGCAGTATCTGCAAGGCCAAAGTTTTGAAAAAAGTCTACGAGGAGGCAGGCTTGATAAGTACGTAGAAACATTTTTAATGAATAATAAAACAATTATTAAATTTGGCTTTCGCATGACACGGAGAATTACTTGTTTGCTGATCTCGGGGGGTCATCCACCTCAGTCATTCTCATCGATCTACGCAGTTTAATAATTGTGAATTTCTCGAAAGAAAGTAAACTGTGTTAGGCGTATCCTGGGGCAGGCAATAACAAGTCTAGACGAGCTAGGACAACAACATGCGGTGGACAGTAATACCGTGTATTAAAAAGCCAAAAATTCAACCGCGCTTTAAACTTATTATGAACCACTACTGAAGAAAATGAAACCGTCGTTCAAAATGGGACCCTAAAGTCTCCATCGAAGACTATTCATCGCAGTTTTGATTTACGCTGGAATCTTTCTCACTTTCCCTCTCTTTTCAAACCATCCCTTCGTTATCATTATGGCAAAGGTACAAAAAGAAACGACCATGAAACTTTTATCATTTAACATTTTATTCCATCCCCTAAGCCATTCCTTAATACACTACAACGTTAATAAAACAGATTCTTTTTTTTTTTCACTGCTGGTTTCTTTACCCCTGGATGGTGCTGTCAATGAACTGCCTCAGATGACGGACTTTAGCGTAAACACCATACGCATCTGGAGCAGCGCACCCTTTTCCAAAACTGGTTGCTCCCTCAACAAACCACTTGTTGTTGTACTGGCACACTAACGGACCACCACTGTCACCCTGACAACTGTCCTTACCGCCTTGCTTGAACCCTGCACACAACATGGAGTCGTGTAGATTACCGTAGGCTCCTTGGCAGACGGATTTCGACACAAGGGGCACCATGACTTCATGCAACACGTCTGGCTGATTTCCTCCAGATTCAAGAGTACCCCACCCACTGATTAAACACTGATTGTTGAGGTCATCCAAGGGCAAGTGATTACTGTTATCTCCCAGGCAGACCAACCCCACGCCCGGTCCCAATACAGCTTCTCGATTGAGCTTAATCAAAGCCATGTCGTTTTCAGTGTTGCCTTTAGCATTGTAATCAGGATGCCTCACAATTTTAATCACTTCGAATTCTTGAGTAGCGTCCTCTTTCACCTCCTTTCTATGAGCCCCCAACCTAGATACAAAAAAATTTGTAGTGTACAGCCGTACGCTTTTCCAGTAACAGATAATCTTAACAAACAAACCTGAGAAATTTTCTTTTTGCCATCTTATTGTTTTTTACACCCAACGGGCCATGGTTATTAATTCTCCGACACGTACGCAGGAATGAGCGCCGATAATTTTTTATAACAGCAAGATGTAACTATACTGTTGCTGCCCTAAAATAAGCAGTAGACCTGCAAAGTTCTAAACCTCTTATTTCACTGGTCAAAATAAGATGTATGAAGGCTCATGATACTACCTTCTATCAGCATTTAAATTCTGAACTACATACCAGATTTTAAAGCCGCCTGGTGATTCATTCTCGACGCAGTGAGCTGCAGTTAGAACCCATTGTTTGTGTATAAGCGAACCACCGCAGAATTGAGACCCAGATCGTAACATTGCCTGCCATGGAATGCTGTGCTTGACTGCCTCCTTTCCACCAACGATTCTTGAAACGGAACCGGAAGGGCGATCACCGCAAGGTGATGGAGCGCCAGAGGGAGTCGGCCCGGAAGAGCTGGGAATTGGTGGAGCAGCTGTACTCATGGGCGGAGGAGGTGTTGGCGCTTAAATCAACAACAATAACAATCAAATGTCAATTTGAAAAAAAAAAAACTGAATCCTTGTTAGCTAAGGGTGGAGTAAAAGGCGAGTTATTTGGAAAACGAGTAGCTTAGAACCGCGTTGAGCTGTACGTATATTAGCATTTCTTGTTTCGTTTTTCGCCCAAAATGTATATAGAGAAGTCGGAGTTATTGAAATCCTACTGCAAAGTGCATGGGCAAGCTCGATGTCTCCGTTTCTGATTAACTGAAAAGGGCCCCTGGCTAATTCTTCAAAACCAGTTAGCGTTCTCCAAAGAACTACTGCATGCATAAACACATTTTTAAACAAGAAACTCAAAAACAACCTGGTGGGTGACAACTGCCATTTGAATAATAGTTGTAAAAAAAAATTTATTTCTTTAATTCTAAATTTTTTGAGGAACAAGCAAATGAAGACGTAATAAAATTATAATCAGGTGGGATGATGTTATACTACTAAAATCGCGCTAAAACTTTCGTATAGAAAGACGCCAACGATACTAGGAGAAAATACCTATAATTAGCTGAAAACTTTTATTTGTTATAATTCATTTATTTGTAGTAAGTTTTATTTCTCTTACAAACTTCGACAAACGCTTGAGCCGCCTGTGGTTTTACATACTCTCATTAGCGGTTCCATTTACGATCTTCCGATTGTTTAGAAAAAAAATATTTTATAAAACGCCACCCAGCTACTTTGCGCTTTTCGTTACTTTATTTCTTTACTTTGTTTTTCATATTTGAGTATTATCAGACTTACGTGTGCCGGATCCATCGTCACTCTCAACAAAATAGTCCACCTCAGGGCCACGCCTTGGATTGCCTTGAAAGAAAAATTCCAAAAAATTGTTAACAGGCTGTTAAGTGGAATTTACGAAGTCTTTGTAATAAAATCATTTTTATGCAAGATCAGTTCTGAAGAAAACACTTTCTTTTTCATCAGGCTCCCAAAAGGATAAGGATAATTCTGATATAGGATATATTTTAATACTGACCATTTTTTTTCATAGTAGTTTGCTTGGTATTGAGAGACTTTATTCAAGTAACCTACGTGGCAGGCGTCGGTTATAGTTAATTTGGTCAGCTTTCTCTCCTTTTCTCCACTGGTGCGCGCGAGCGTCCTTGAAATTTCTCCCTTCACCATAAAAAAAACCGGCGGCTGCCACGCAGGCTAAAGGATGTAACAAAAAAGAATTTCTTACCTTGTATACCGGCCAAGAATGCTGCCATTATAAAAGTTACAACGCTTTTCATTTTCAAATCAGCTCTCAAAGTCCCCACAGCACTTGTTGAGTTCAGTAATAAACTATTGTCATGATTAGGCTAGCTTTATTTATAAGTAAAGTCCATTAAGTCCAGTCACTATATTATTTCTACAGATGCTCCACTTTCTAATAGGCAACATAGACTTTGTTGGTCTCGATAATTAGTTAATTTTACACAGGTCTCTAAGTTAAAGAAAAAGTAATGGTTTTTTCATATACTCATCAATGGTTTGTTTTTTTTCTTATTGGTTGTTTGTTGTAGTAAGTATAACAAAAATTTATATAGTCCCTACTTCAAGAACAAATGACTGACAGGCCAGAAATGGTGTGTACTCTTTGACATGCCGAAAAAGTTAAAAGCAAGAAAACAAGCAATTAAAATGTCAGGGCTTACTTAATGTTTATTTGAGAGAAACAAGCAGCTATTTGGTCATACTTTCGCCTACAGCCTAAATAATTAATAAAAAGAGCCGCACTAAATTGAAAACGCATTGTACGTTGCCTAAAATAATTCAGATAACTTGTTCGATCCAACCATAGTTAATTGAGTGGAATGGTTATGAAACCCGTCAGACTCCTTTGTTATATGTTTTTGTGGACCTGAAAGTGCACAACGTTCAAAAGAATTCCTATCATTTCGATTGTATTGACCAATAAAAACGTTGCATTAATTTATTCCGTAACAATTTGCCAACAGAAAACAAAGGATTGTGCACTTTCAGGGTGCTTCCAACATAAACTGCAGCACTGTTGTTTTTATCATTGATGTTTGCCGCTTTTCATAACCAGTCTCCTCTAATAACTATGATCCAACTACCCGGCAAAGGTGATTCTTTTGTCGATTCTCGACCGTGCACTGCAGCTATGAGTGGATAGCGGTTTTATGTCTTACTGATTGATTAGAAACGGTAAAATGCCTATTTTCCTTGATAATTTCTTGAGAAATAGCTGAAATGGCTTGTTTTCTTCTATATTAGCTTTGGTATTCTATTTGCTTTTTTTTCTTTGCCTGGACTGCATTAAAAAGGGTATTGATATACACTGTTGTTAAGACGCTACTCCCAATCTTACAGCTAAGTTAAGTTCAGAGTTTCAAACGATTTTAAAATTCACGTGGTCTTGTTACTTGCTAATGCACAACTTCGACCGTAAATTGCAAAGTTAAACTCGTTGTTTCTTTTTTCTTTCGGTGAATGGTATTCCCAAGTCTCAGCTTTTCTAGTTTTGCTTTGCGGGCTACAGGTTTACATCATAGGACAAGGGTTACAACCTTAAACTACCTTGTTGTGACCTATTCACCACCGATTAAACCCAATTTGACCCAGTCTTGAGAGATGAAGGGCAAAAACACTTCGTTGGCTTTGTAAGCTGATCAAACATCGGTATGTAGCAATATCATTCGTCAAAACGCATTAACTAGAAAGAAGAATGATGTTTGCCAGAATGACAGAACATCAATTACCTTTTTAGTTCCTGATGTTAATATCCACATTACAGCATATGCTTAACGGGAAAGGACGCTAACGATGAGTAATACAGCATGTTCATTAGCCGAAACATCCAACTTTGAATGTGGAAGGACACCCTCTAGCTGTTACAATTGATCCGTCATAAATTAAATTGTTATTTTATAGTGAACCTAGAGAACCCTAAGGAAACAACTGTTTCCCCTTTTGATCAAACTTTCTTTCCTCTCCTTATTTTATGCAGTTAAACATTTATTCATGGGGGTAATTCAAAGTTCTCACTTGGGTCCGTAAGATTGGACTGTGTGGCGGAAATAAGGATGAATTATGAAAAAAAAGAAATACGTCTAAGGGCTCCTGAAGCAGTTTGTCCGCTAAACGGGCAGAAAAGGCAACTCCTCTTGCCTTACGGTGGAGGTTCTAGGTTTTAGCGAGTCCGGTTTACATCATATCATGGCCTCTTCTCATCAAACAAGACTGAGGCTGGTGATTAGGCCTTTCCCGATTGCGCTGAGCACCTTTTGAGCACTTTTTTGAGTTTGGAGCACTATTTTGCATTTTGAGCACCCTTAAGCACTTTTTCGCACTTTGGGCAACATTTGAGCAATATTTCACATTTCGAGCAAATTTCGAGCAACATATGTCTTTTAAAACATTTTAAAGCAAAAACTGTGTGTCGCTCGCAACGAGAATCGTGTTCCAGGTCATAAATTTGAATAACTAATGATGTTGTCAAGAATAAAAGACCGTTGTCATGGAAAGGCACGTGGACTTATCCTCACTGAGCGTGAAAACAGAAGTTTCTGATTGGCTGATGTATCATGCGTGTGTCATCCCAAATTTCTAAATCATCTGATGCTAGCACTGCTGAATTTATTTACAATTCGTAACCGGCTTTAGTTTTTTAAAAATATTATTGTTCTATATTCTATCAACCTTTCGTAACAACCTGTCGAATAACACTACGCAAAATAGATTGTTAATTACTTCAGTAAAAATTGACATATTTAAGAAAAGCTTACAGGTAACTGTTCACAACTTTTAGCTCTTTTTGAGCACTATTTTGAGATTTTGAGCACTTTTTGAGCACTTTTTAGCCATTTTTGCCAGCACTTTTTTAGGATTTTACGAGAGCAATCGGGAAAGGCCTACTGGTGATCGATCCTAAGTTTTTTCAGTCATCTTTCCAGTGCCTGTCCCTTGAAGTTTCAGACTGTGAACTGATGTACTGTAATGTACTATATCACAACAATACTAAAAATACACTAGGGTATCTAAAAGATAGTAATGCTGCGGCACATTCTGTTGATACTGGCATTAGTTAGGCAGTGAGAGAATCACAAATGACATTGAATGTCCTATTTACATGTTGGAAAGTACTAGAATAATTACTATCAGTCTATAGAAAGAACTCGTGGGAACGTTGTTTAGAAAATGATCAAGTGGTTATCAACTCTGGTTTTCCCACCGAAATTGTAGGAAACTAGAAATTCAGATCGTTTATCCATATATTTAATATACGGTGCACGATATTTTCTCTGGAAACACAATACTTTTCTTGCTGTTTGTTGCACTTTATTAAGTAACAGTTATTTAGCTATATATTTATAGAAAACAACAACACAAAAAACGGGAAAAAAAAGAAAGAATGAAACAAATAACTCAGTAGGATTCGAACCCGGCACCTTCGACTCGACGCGACTACACTTAACCACTACACCACAGAAACTGATTACGTAGTCGTTAGGAAAAGTCGTTCATTTTATTCCTTTTCCATGAAACTTCCGCCGGCAAGATGATCGCCAGCCGCATTAACCGAGCTATTAACAGTGAAAAAACAATGTAAACGCATATTCCATGGCAATAAATGAATGAAAGAACATAATTATGCTTTTCAAAACGCCGATACACGTCCTCGTCTGCAAAGTAGGACACAAAACATATGTTTTGTTATCTCGATTTCCGCTGTTATTTTGAAGCGAATGGTCAAAATCATACAGTTTCTTAACAATAGCATTGCATGACATTTTCTCACTTTCACATCACCTTCTAGCAAGCTGGAATTTGTATATCCCCCGTGTTGCGGAGTCGAAGAGCAAAAAAGGCTCTTGGATTGAAATCCAATCCCCAAGTTAACCATCGAACTCATCTGAAAGACTCCTGCGTGTCTTAAAATTTGGTAAGATCTCTAACCGTGCTGTAGAAAATTTGCCACAAAGAAAACTCTAAGTCTGAGCAGCGAACGACGCACTCTCTCACCCACCGAACTTCCCCGTGTTTTTATTTGAGTTGTTCGTGGCGCAATGCACTCTGGTTAAATGCAATGCATTGTGGTAAAAAGTGTGGTTAAATGCAATGCATTGTGGTAAAAAGTGATGAATTCGAGAATTCGTCGCCCCTTATATATTTCCTTTAAATCCTGATTATGTTGCTGCTCGCTCCCTTCGGTAGCTCCGCAGCAACTAGATTATTTTGTCAAGTCAATCACATGGCTAATAGCTTAAAATTTTTTCAAAAGCGCCGAGTTACCGCAAGTTTTATAACGGCTCTTACGTACAGCTTAAATAATGGCCTGGAGGGCAGGACCGCGGGTTATTCTGAAATTAAAGACAAGACACTCTACATATGGTCTGACTACGGGACAGTTCTGATTAACTGTGGAATTCTCATTACGACTGGACTGGCCTGCCCTTTAAATTCTGAAAAATGGTAGGCGACCTTACAGCATCTGTGTGTATCGTCATTTCAGTTTTATAGATAATTCAGTGGCAGTACTATAGAGTCTTTGTAGTTCAGTCCAAGGAATAAGTCCTTCTGGGCGATTTCTTTAGCGATTTTCACCTGAATCCTCTTCAAGTAGTCATCAGCACATTTAAAGACATTGCCAAAGGCTCCAATTTTACAATTCGAGTGATGTTTCACAGTCCACCACATTTCTCTAAGTATCTCGCTGAGTGTACGGCCTTTTCTGGGATTTCTACATAATAAGACAATGTAATTTGATGTGATGCACAACGGGGACGGCTAGGGGACCTCAGCCCCCAACCTTTTCGGAAAAAAAAATGGCGTAAAGAGAATAAGTCTCTCCTCGGCATCCTCATAAAAGTCACAAGTTCACTTCAACTCCCCTAAACTTGAAAAAGTACCGCTCTACTCGTGTGAAGGTGGTAAAACCAGTGACAAAAGTTAAAGTTCAACCTGGTTCGTCAGTGAAGGGGTTCGGTGTGAACGAAATGTCCCGTCAAAGTTTTCAGCGGCTTGAAAATTTTTACTTGGAAACTGAAAAAACAACAGCAAAGTGCTTCATAAAAATCGACCGCAATGTAACTATAGGAAAGAAATGGAGGAAGATAATTATTACTAAAAGATGTTCAGCACCTGGTTTAGGATCGTTTTTTTAGTAGTTTATTTTGTTTGAGTGGTTGTTGTGGTATTCTACGTTTTTGGCTTTAAAATCAGAAAAGATGGAGAATTTAGAGAAATTATGTGATTTACAGCCTCGTCTTGTTCTTTGTGGTTCACT